CCCCACTTCCCTAACATGGGGTGGGTGGGAGGGCTGCATATTTTATAACAAATATGAAAAAGATTGAAAAAATTGACTATATACACTTCCCAACAGTACGTCATATCCAGTACTGGATATGCAGTTAAAAAACTGGATATGCAATATTTTTTCCTTTTTTTGTTAAAATGGGGTGAAGAAGTAAAAAAAAATCACATCCAGTTTCATTTTACCACAGATCTAGTACAGGATATGAAGTAATGTTGAGATAGCTAGTGGAACTAGATGAAAAAGAGAGGGGAGGTACCTGCAGTACCTGCAACAGGTACCTCTAGTACCTCCCAGGAGGTGTCTGGTGCAGTACATGATATCTATTTTCTTGAAAAAATGAACAGGTACCCAGGTCCAAACAAACAATCTGACCTCATGTCGCTGATTTTTTGTAGGCTGTGGCAGGGTATAAATACTCTACCTATCAATTTTAGTACTGTAAATTTTTGACTGTGCAGCAAAAATGCCTGCCAAAACACTCTGGAACCATGATGGAAATGATAGGGTCAGAGCGGTGTCTTGTGAGGGCTCAGTATTTGACAGGCATTGTTGCTGCACAGTCAAATTTTGACAGTGATGCCACCTCTAACAGAAAAAATTGACATGCCAAGCAGGTTTACTGTTGGAGGTGATACTAATGTCAAACTTGGATGGTGCTGCATCAAATGTCTGCCAAGTACTGGTCCCTGTCAAAACACTCTCCTGATCCTATAGTTTCAACTTTCCAGTTCCTTCCTTGATGAGTATCCATGAAGTTGATACCTCCTTGGAGAGACGTGTGTCAAGTTAGCTGTTTTCTAGTATGTATGCAAGTGATTGCATTGTGGGTGTGATTGGACCCAATCTTCCCACATTCCTCTGATTACATGCAGGCTGTGCCAGGGTATAAATACTCTGCCATTTTGCCCTCAACACATCAGTCCACATCTCTGAGCAGATACCTCCTATCAACACACTCACCAAGATTTCACAACAGTCCCTTTGCATCTTCCCTCATTATAACCCCTGGTAAGTGCCCAATCCCTTGAAATTTTTGAAATTTTGATTCTCCTAAGAAGAGCCAGCTAGCAAACACAAAACTCAATAACTTTCTCCTTGAGTTAACGTAGTGGTGATGATAGTTGATCCCATTCCTTCAACTCACTGATATATTTGTGCTTGCATCCCCAATATGTTTCTCTTTGTATACAAAAACTTCATTATAGCCTACTTGGTGGAATATTTACTCCGCAAGAAAAGTCTTTTGATTAAACACCAGCAAAAAGCTGTGATAGTAGATACATACAAAAGGGTGAGTACATACCCCTTGGCCCAATTCTTGAACTGACACATGTTAATTGATTGACGGATGATACCTCATTATGATATTCCCGGCTGTTGGGTCACATCTTGATCAACAGAATACTGATTATTAGCGTATTTGAACTTCAAACATGCTCATTCAAATCTCAACTGTGAACCTCTTGAGCTTCATCTTCACTATAAGTCTTGCTATGGCATCGGAACAACCTCACAATATTGCTCAGTTTGGCGATAGTTCGAAAACTCTAGAGAACAATGCAAACAACAGCCGCAAGCTTTCAGCAGCTATAGCAGACCGAGATGAAGCTGCCAGACAAGCAGAGGAAAGGAGACGTCGCTATGGTGCAACTCATGCAGACACCCACCGGGCCAATCAGGTTTATTCATATTACGATTTGGAAGCTCAGAGAGCTGGTGCAGGGCGAAATCCTCCGGCTCCCAAATAAAAAGAAATATTCCAATTGAAGGCAACTTGCAGATTGTGTAGATAGTTCGAACTGCGACCGGCTGAAGAAATGTTTCTCACAGAATCTCCTCTTTGTCATCTCTCTGTTCCATCAATTTTCACTCTTGATCAATATGCAAACTTTCTCCTTTGGTCCTGCAGATTGGCCCTCAACAGTTAGTTGTAGATAGAAGTCCCTCTCTTTCTCCTCAGAAATTCTAGCATCAGTTTTTTCCAGTGCATAGATCCAGCAGAGGATTGTACACTCTCCTCTGCTTCTGAGAGCTCCAGATCCTCTCAAATTGCCCTGAGTCTTGAGTTTATAAGTTCTCTAAATTCAGTCAAAATCTGTAATTCAGCCTATAATCTCATCACTCTTTGTCTTATATGCTCCTATGCCAATCATTTTTTCTCTTCTCTCCATTTTCCCCATATTTCGACAAGCTGATCATGATAGTGGGCTGGCGATTGGGGTTTCTATGTGAACTCTGTCAGCTTGCTACTATGGCAGAGACAACCTGTCATAGCAAAATAAAAATAAAATTACATAAAAAATCTAAGAATAAAGTAAAAATATTACATAAGTAAAAGAAACTAATTTACTTATGTAAACAAAACACTTAAAATATATAAATAACTTAGAAAGAATAAAGAAAACCTTAATTATTATTACAAATTCTGAATCTACGTACAATTTAACCTAGGGTACCTCAGCCAAAGGTACCCCTAATTGTAACCCCTTCATCCTGTAATACTCACTTAAAGAATTAAACAGGTACCCATGGATCATGGACACCTGAATAATTATGCATTGTACATAACAATATGCATATACTCCAAATCTTGTCTCAGATTTGGAGTGTTGTGTATAGTTTAGAAGATAGACCAGTGTGGCGTGTACTATCTCCAAGCCCGCGTGCCGCGTTGTCATGCTGCGCACTGTTGACAGGCACACCTGACTACAATTGAGCCCAAGGCTCAAGCCCCCACGCATGCTAGGTATGCATACCCGCCTTGGATACATGCATAACCCCCTCTGGGTTACCAGTATCCAAGGAAATGGGCCACAAAGCCCCAGAAACTCACTGTGCACGTGTCAACAAAGCCCCCACACGTGTAATAAAAATATAAACAAGCTAGAATATTCATGAATACACTACAGTAACTCTGAATATTCCATCTTCCAGTTTGTAGCACGTCTAACAAGCCCCAGAAACCAGTTCTGGCATATTCTGTGGCCCATTTCCTTGGAAATGACACCACGTAACAGACTAGCCCTTGCCCACAGGTTCCCAAGGTATATTCTTTGTTCAAATAAATTCGTGCATGACCCCTTGGAGCTTCTAGAATATTATACCCAAGGTTTCAGCCCTTGTTGCGTCACTAAGTGGGCTAAAATGGGCCAAAAAGCGCTCCCAAGTCCTACTAGGCTCCCCTGAGCAACCCCTGAGGCCTTCCACAGGTATTTAAAGGGCCTTCTGACCGCCCAAATAATGATCCCCCAGCTTTACAATACCATATAGAAACATACTTACCATTTACAAGTCCCCTACACTTGTAATTAGCCTAGTTACTACTATTACTGCTGTTATTAAACACCAGGGGAGTTTGCTCAGCACCTGCTTGCAAGTGCCATCGTAGAACTCATTCATAGATCTGGTTTGAAGCTAGTTACAACACATGTTGATATGTACCACAACCTGGTGAAAAGACATGTTGATGTGTACTGCAACTTCACTTGATATGACTGTGAAATATACTGGATATATTATGGAATACATGTGTAGAATGTACCCCAGACCTATGCTGAAACCAAGTTCAACTTGACAGCATACAGTTCTTGATCCCAAGCTTTTGCCAAGCTTGCACTATCTTGACTGATATGATTTCCCACCTGGTTCAGTTTGTGAGCCACTATCTCAGCGAGATATTCTGAAATATTTTTTTCAAGAGCCCACTAGTTACGAGAAAGCTTGCGAGTTAAACAAGTCCTTGCCAATGCCTATATCATGTGATTCTCATGTACACACAACCTTCATAGTTAGTGATGATCGGGCCTCCTAAACTTTTGGTAATATCTATCTACTAAAGAGTGTGATTACTGGAAGCCAAATGCTGAACTCATTCCATTGGATTGATTTGTGGAACAAATGCAGCAGTTGACGTATTGGCCAAACCAATCCAACAGGTGCTGGAGTTTGTTTACCAAACATTCCAGCTTACATTACTACATCATGCAGTGGCCTGCAGTCAATGTGATTGAGTTAAAATAAGCACCAAATGCTGTGTATTGTGAGTTGTTCTAAAGGGTATTCCAAAAATATTCCAAATTTTAGAAAAGAGAAAGGTAACAAATACAACCATTCTATGATTATTCCAACCCCCACATCATTCACAACCTCAATTTTCTCTACTTATTTCTCTATGCAACATGTCAAACACACTATGCCTTGGTCAATTTTTCACACGTATACACTCTCCTACCTCAGATTCCCTTCCTGATCACCCACAACAGGCCTTCCTACAACTGGGAACAGATTGAGTGCACATGTGTTTTCCCCCGAGACAATTGGTTGTAGATCTCAGCCAAGTTCAAAGCTAGTTCCTTGGTCCATTGTTAGGTCCAGTGGGCAGCTGCTCAACACCAATAACAGAAGAAGGAAATATCTCTTCTGAAAAATCCCTGATACAAATTTATGCTTTCCTTTTTACCAAGATATATAATCAACTGAGGGGTTGTGTATTTGGTCTTGACTCAAACAAGGTCACCATTTCATCTGCTTTCTCTAAGGCACAAATAAATTTCTCCCCCATCTGGAACTACAATACCAGCCTCTTTTTCAATATCCCCCAAATTGCACTAGTACTCCAGAAGAAGATTATTCTTCTCGGGTTGTTCTCAGAAACTCTGTAACCACCTTGAAATAACACCAATACACAGCTTCATCCCCAAAAGAAATGAGTCTACCAAACAAAAAGTCAACTTGTGAAACTACCCCATCAATATTTGTATAAAATGATGTAGTAAACCTCTGACCTAATACTTGACAAAACAGACCAATTTAATATTTGAGGATCCATAATTGCTGATGAAATGGGCTTGAGAAAAAATTCAATCAGCCTTGAATTTGTTCTAGCAACCTCTCAATTGGCCAAAAGCTTCCAGATGAATGGTTCTGAAAATCATCCAGTTCAATTTTTGGCCACCCTCATTATTTTTCTGCTAGCAACCTTTTCAAACTGTTAAAATGAGATCAATATTCACTCTGCCAAGGGTTTCTTTACTGTATCTTCCATGGAAGAGATTGAGGTCACGTGGTGAGCAGTAGCATTCAAACCAAATTTTTCAGACACCTGAAAAAGATAGAGCTTCTGCAATTCTGAAATCATTTAGTTTTGGTGTGTGGTGAAATTTCTCACTGGTGGCCGAATTGGAAATGGCAAGACTCTGCCAGAGAGCATAAAAAATTCTTGTGGGGTTAATGGCGGATTTGAAGGCCCAATTCATCAGTATGCTCAAGCTTTGTCATTTATCTTGAGATTTGAGCGATACACTTTGTGGGCTTTGATCTAAAGAGTAAAAATAAAACATATGAAGTACGATTTCATGAAGAATTTAACAGTCCCTCAATAAAAAAAAAACCAGCTTTGACATGGCCTATACTATATAGGGAGCTTGATATAGCAAAACAAGATGGGAACCTTTCTTGATTTTGACCAGATCCCAACAACAACATTCTTCTGGCTCTATACAAGCATCCAGTGTAGGAATTGATTTAAGATGTGTTTAAAACGTTTACATGATGGTAAGGGGGAAGTGTTTTTCATTTCAAATTGAATGAGTTCCTGAAATTTGTGATGCTAAAGGAAATAAACCCAAATAAATCTGTGAATTAATTGTCTCTATTGCCTTGGACAAACAAAGGAGGTCGATTTCTACTGGTACTATTAACACGGGAATCTGGAAATGAATATACATCAAGTGACAAGTAGGAAAGGTAAATTGGTGTTTTATGGATTTCTCAGTCTCTCCATATCTGTATATGAGGTTATTGACTTATTTTTTGAGATTAGACAAAATTGATTCTGAATCTCAGAGCGCTGAGTGTATCATCACACCAAAATAAGAGTTATGAGTGTGCACATTTTGTTATGTGTAACATGTTAAATTTGGTTTTATGAGAACATGATTTACTTTCAGGAGACTTTAGGGAAAGCCAGGAAATTTTTAAAATTCATTTTGGTTTGGGATTGAGAAGTTTGAAATTGAGCTCAGACAAGGTGGCTAGGTATTTGTCTGAATAGCAGCTAGGTAATTTGTGTAGAACACTGTGGAGAGATTTTGAAATAGCTTGCTTATGTTCAAGACTTAATTAGTTTACAAATGTTTTTCCTTTGGTATCCTGCATTTTGTGGATTTTTATCTTGTCCAGTTAAGGTGCCGTGTTGAAACCCCTGAACACCAAAAACAGGAAAAATCAATACTCACTAGATGGCAGGTCACATAAAGTAAAATTTATCGCTGCTCTTCTTTAGCTACAGCTCTGTTTCAAACTAAACACAACAGCCTCTTTGTGTCCTATAGGGGGCTGAGGCAGAGTTGAGGTGGATATGTAATTGGTAGCATACTGAACTTGGACTGATGTCACTTGTCATTTATGAATTTATTTTTCTTGTGAAAGGGAGAAAAATTATTTGAAAATATTTCCAGGGAAAACTTTGGTCTCAGAACAGCACCTTATTTTATCAAAGAGCTCTGTTTTGATTATGGTGGGATAAAAAGAGTTTTGAGAGGGTCTCCTGTCTGTTTTTCTGAATTTGAATATTCGAAGGATGAATTTTTCAGTAAAAGCTTAGATCAATCAAGTTGACTTTTGAGAAAATTCTCATTATATACAATTTGGATTCATTTTCAGATTGATTCTTTTTGTCCCTGTTTTTGGCAGAAGAATTTCTCAATCAAATTTCATCCTTACTTCTTAGAAACTACCAATGGAGAATACCAATAGGGAATTTCTTGTTCAAGATTTTGGTATGATGTATGAAAAATGCTTTGTATAACCCAGCCTGGGATGCATGGTTTCAATTTTTGAGTATTAATCTTGAGATTATTTTGTTCCATTGCATTTCCCAGGGTTGGTCCCAAGAAAAATTTAAAGAAGTAATGTTTGAATTTTCTGGGTCTTGAAGAAAGATTACGCTGCAGAATGGAGTATTTCTTTCCAAAATCTGGGTAAGGG